GAAGACCTCGGCTCCAGCTGTATCTCTTGCGGAGCTTAGAATTTAGACATGCACCACAAGAATCCACTCCGTCCCCGCCAGAGTCGTCGTCAAACAGCAACGTCAAGACAACACCCTAAACCCTAAACAGCTTTACCGACAGCTCGACTTTCGCTCTGCCGACCTGCTGCAACATTTCATCCCCATCTTCTCCATTGAAACGACAGCGACCATACTTTAAGGCCTCGTGTCTGCAGCTCGAAGTGTGGACAAATGTAATAAGGAACCCCCAAAAATAGTATAGGTAATTGGTGACATGTGTAATAAGGAACCCCCCAAAAATAGTATAGGTAATTGGTGACAATTGTAATAAGGAACTCCCAAAAATAGTACAGGTAATTGGTCAGAAACTGTTCAGTTGTGTCGCGTGTCCTAGACAGCAAGAGATTGTTCAGAAATTGATTCACCCTCCGCGTCCTTGTGTTGCAACACCGAAACTGGAGAGCCCAAATGTCTGATGTTGGAAGCGGCAAAGACATGGAACTGTCGGCGTAACCTGACAAGCATTGTTCCTTTGGCACCCTGAACCCTAGAACCCCAAACCCTAGACCCTAAACCCTAAACTGATAGGCCTGTCTGCACTTGCCCCGCCGTTGACATGCTGTCGCTCTTCCGGGGCTACGGTTGATGATATAAATCCTGCATTACCCAGAATCTGGAATCTACCATAGTTCCCGTAGTTTAGGGTCCTTAAGGTAATTCAGGATGTCTATCATCAACACTACTTCCTCTCTTCCCTTGCCCGCAATTACTCAGCCCCCTGGGACTTCCCCACAACCGACCGGGCTCCCCTCCTCCTCTGAAAGTCCCCGAGTCTTCGGTTTAGGGTTTAGGGTTTAGGGTTTAGGGCTTTGGGTTCAGGGTTTGGGGTTCAGGGTTTAGGGTTTAGGGTTGAGGCCAGATTCAAATCTTACGCACCTTTTTTCTCACCTCTCCACAGGCCAATCCGGGCATGGGGGTCCTCAGATCCACCGGCCGTATACAACAAGGCCTGGGGATCTTCAGTGTCCGTCCTATGACACAAGGCGCGAGAGCGAAGTGAAACAGGAGCAGCTGTGGGGTAGGCCATTTGTGCCGACGACCGTGAGGCGCGAACGCTGAGGCGCAGAGCGCATTTCCAAGGGAGTCTCATGCAGGATAATTACGGCACTACAGGTCTGCACGCAGTGGTGCCGACGAGCTTTTCATACGGGGCTCCGCAGGAACACTGCAGGCTAATTCATGCTATGAGCACCATTGTGCTGTGGGTGACATTCGGACCCGCAACGTCGTGCTTTCAATATTCCCCACTCTCTCGCCTCTGCCGTAGGCCTTCGGAAGCACTCGAAGTTCGAGTGCTTGCAGCACTGCTGGGGCCGCCGACGAGGTCGGTGTCGGGGGCCTCCCACCAAAGCGCAAAGCGACAACGGCCACGAGGGCCAGGCACAGCAGCCCCAAGGAAAGTGCGCGAACCGGCACGCCAAGGGCCAGGGGACTTGTACCAGCGACCATGTGAGAATGGGAGGGCGTGGCGGTGGACCTTGCTATTGCTATGGTAGATTATAGTAGATTGTTCTATGTTGTGGTATATGATAGTATATGATACTTGCCAACTTCAAGCCTCACAAGGCCTACTGGCCATAAGAGTGTGAGGACAGAGGCGGGACGAGATGCCAAGTTGTGAAGAGCACGTTCACCGACAAGCACCGAGACGTCCAGGTCGGGCGGCGGCATATGCCTGCAGCGCATCGCTTGCTCCACGACCGTCACAAGCCGGGATTTTTGTCTGCAGGCAGACTGTGCCGCCCCTACGGTGCTGCCGAAAACCCAGAAAAACATAGGCTTATAGAAGATTCGGAGACGCATGGCGCACAAAGAGACGGACTGTGCAGGTACCCACTTCGAAAGAGCGTGGCTGATATCAGGTGCAGATCACTGCCTGCCACAAGCAGTTTCGAGTTGCGATTCATCTCAGCAAAGGGCCGGGGGCGGCCTGCTTCCTTTATCTGCAACACGATGTGAGCTGTTTGGATGCGCCAGCAAGTCCCAGCATGACGCAGCCCCTGCCTGCTTTCATGCCTCGCCTACAAGACAGCGGCTTCACTGGCTTCTTAACGGTCTTTAGGGATTAGGGTTTAGGTGAAGCAGAGTAGTCCTAGCAGGGCCGTGGCGGGCCCTGGAACCACAAGTGGCAGCTGTTTGGTCGGTCTTTCCTACTCGAAAGTGACCCAGGCTTTCTCTCCCTGCCTGCTTTCATGCCTCACCTACAACAAAACTGCCCTTGAGTCCCTCTTAAACTTTCAGTGGCTTCTTCAAGGTCAAGAAAAAGGCTTTACAGGGGGTCTGCAGGCACAAGTGGCAGGTGTGTTGCGGGCCTTCCCTAATCGAAATCGGCCGAGGCTTTCCCTCGAATGCAGAACCTCACCGATTCTCAGTGATGGAACTGTCAGGAGACCTAATCCCTGAAGCCTAAACCCCTAAACCCTACACCCTCGGAGAGCGAGTTTCTGACTGCTAAAAAAAAGAACGACCTCCGGAAGAGGGATCGCTCAAATTCTGCTTTTCAGGAGGCCGCCGGGGCGATATGCAACGAAGCGCTGGGAGGGTTTAGGGTTTAGGGCTTAGGGGGAGCAACGAGCACTGGGAAATGTATTGCTAGGTTTCTGCGAGGTTCTCGAGTCTGATGTTTCGGTGACCCAGCTGCCATGCTCTTAGATAGTTGCTGAACCGTGGCCGTCTCCTAGACACGGAAGCCCGTCCGGCGATCCTAATAGCTGCACGATGGGCTTTGGGCGAGATTGACATGAACGGATTACGACGCTGCAACGCCCGACGAGGCCCTTCCTGTTCTGAGAAATGAAGCTTCCAGAAAAGGTTCAATGTATGAAGTTGCAGCGTTGGCCCACTCCTCCGTCAGACGAGTTCATGTTGCAACTGGAGATAATGGGAAGGAATCTCGGAAAATGAAATTTCCGCAGAAAAATCTCGCGGGCGGCGGAGGGATCTTGTTCTCCGGTCCACTTTCCGAATGACGAACAAGCAATGCGATCCTCATGTGAACTACAAACACACGCAAAGACAAAGTCAGTCAGATCTTTATGTAGCCCTAGAAAAAGTCGCAATTAAGGGTTCAAGGCCGTGACCGCGTACAGATTTTCCGAAATCCTGTTGGTGGCACAGCCGAAGCGGTTTCCAGCACGCCTGGTCATCTCCAACAAGGTGGAAGCTGTGAGTATACTAAGTGGGATCGTTGTGTATGTGTCGTACTGATCCCTGGTATTATGATAACCCCTGTCCGCTCATGTCACAAAAGGGGGGGATGCTAAGACCACTGCGTGGCGGCAAAGCCCTGCCAGAACTCGGGCAGCGGAAGCCTGTGGAAATCACCGATGGCCTCAAGGAGACGCCACCGGAGTGTCCTCGGATTCACTCTGCACCGGTCAGGCATCGCAGGAACCGGGCAGAACGTGAGGCTCCGCTGCACTTGTGCAGAGCAACACCCTCTAGAAGCGGTTTAGGCAAGAGCTGCTGGACTGAAAAGCAAGTTATCAGGTCTCATGCCTTTCAGGACTGCGCCACAGGAGCCTACACGCTCTTCGTGGCGTGAGGTGAGCCCAACGTCAGCCTTGACACTGACTTCTCAGTTCACCAGCCGCACTGCACAAGCCGCAAAGTCCGATCGGAGGCGAGGACTAGGCTGCCATCAATCCCTGAGGGCAGTAGTCTCATCTCTGCTTGCCTGGTGACTGACATGGTCAAGTAATCGGGAAATAAACCCTGGAGCCTTGCTTTTCAGTCCAGCGAGTTTTCCAACGCACAGAGTCCCACTGCACCTCGGGACAAGCATCCAGCGACGCTACGGCAAGGGCGCGTGCTGAAGCCGCCCGTGTCCGAGCATGATGCACTCCCTGCCCATCCTAATGCCAGAACTCTCCCCAGCCTAGCCGCTGCACTTGCGAGCAACGCCCTGCGACTTGCTGAGCCGAAAAGCAGCTGCTGCGCGAAAGGCACGAGGGACAACAGAGCCTCCCAAAGCCGGGAATTGCTCATCTTAAGTCAGGCAGGATGACCTGAAACTTAAAAAGCCCAACGTTGCAAATGCCGGCAGTTCTGTGCCTCTGCCTTTTTACAACAGGCGCTAAGAACCCAGGACCCTGCGAAACTGCTGCGTCCGGGCCCCTTCAAGTTTGGGCGTGCTCTTGCAACCACCGCCAACCCCAACCCTTAACCGCATGCAGAGATGTGCCAAATGAGCTCTGTTTGAACTGGCTTCTGGCGCCAAGGGCTCTTTGTACACATGGTAAGGCAAGGCGGTGAGCCCGGCAGTCCTTCTCACTTGACCTCACCAGCGACCAGAGGCGGTTGCAGCATGTTGCGCTCCCTGCTTGTCCTCACAAACCAGATCCAAAGGCCATTCGGCCTCAAGGAGCTGCGGTCGCCCCATCCTCCTGGGGCAGGGTCCGCATCAGAATGCCCACACTCACGATCAGATTCTCGCGATAAAGGAAGTACGATGTCGCTGATCGCAGGCGGGGCGGGAAAACCCCCGCCCAACCTGCAGCAGTTGCGCATGGCGGCCTAGAGGCAGTGCCGACGGTCTTACAGAACCAAGGCCGCTTGGATGCTTCCTTGAGTTCGGAACAGAACTGCCCACTTGCATGCATGTGGACGAACCGAGGCATCAAGAAGGAGAGAAAGAGAAAGACTACATACATACTCGGGTGACTCGGGTGCCTTGCTGGAAGCTTGCAGCATTCGACGTTCAATGAGAGAGCAAACTCTGCCAACAATGCCTTAGATTCCACCGGTCCTGCTGCCTGCCAAGGCCAAAGCTTTGCATATCTAGGAATCTAGGGCAATGCCCTCTGCACGAGTTGGACAAGACTTGCTGGCCTCAAAGAGACTTCCCGGCCGTAATCTGCACATTTACATCGGGCATTCTCATTTTTGCGAGTGGGCTTTTTGTCGCCAATAGGTCAGCCATGCCGACAAGCCAAGCCTGCCGTGGGCCCGGCTTTCTGAAGCCACAATGCATCACCAGCACGTCCGACAACGGACAAGAATCCACCCGGGGTAACGGCAAGGACACGCCAGCCGGCCAGGGATTTCCCAGCATGATGTGTGTTTCCACCTATCGGCATGCCAGAACGCTTAGCAGCGGAAGTAGCAGGGGAAGGCCACCGGATCTAGGAGAGGCGATTCGGTTTCAATTAGATGCCGTCGGCACATCCTCCTGGGACAGGGTCCAGGTGAGTTGGCGAAGCGCTTCGCCAGCAAGAAAACACGACGTCACGACGTCACCCGAGCTGCATCTGCTCACATCAGACCTCGCCGGCCCGGTCTGCTGCGCTTGCAGAGCAACGCTTTCTTAGCGCTGCTTGGATGAGACATTTTGGGCTGAAAGACATGCAGGTGTTCCGGCTATCTTCTCTTTCAGGACTGTGCTAGCACGCTGAAACATGCCCTCTGTATGCCCGGCAACTTTCGGACTTGCAATGCTGTGCTTTCAACACCCCCCCTTGCAGAAACAGGGGTTCCGGAGCATTTCCAGCAAACACGACGTCCCTTCATAAGGCAACAAGACAGGTATCCAGTCGCAACATGCCTTGAGGCCTACACACAGAGTAGGCCCAGAAGGCCGGAAGAGAAGCACAGGACAGGAGATGGCTGCAGCGTGTCTAAGCATCTCCTAGACAGAGAAGTCAGAGCCTACGATCTAATTGCTGCACGATGGGCTTTGGGAACGATTGACACCGAAAGGAACGGCTCCAAGTGCTTTTGAGGAGGGCCGGGCCCACGTCAGGCTTTGTCTCAAAAGCCTGGTCGAAAGCTGACTTCCAGCTCTTCCACATGTCAGCCCAAAGCTCCGGAGACTCACCACGATGGACACTTGTATAGTAAGAAGACTGCAGCACCGTGTACAGAGACAGGCCGGGGGCTTCGCGCGACCGTACATGGGCCCGGCAGATGCCCCCATCATGAAATACTGTATTTCATACCCTAAACCCTAAACCCTAGGAAATGTATTTTGGACCCCTACAGGCCCCCCTCCACGCATTAGCTACACCCAACTATTCCGAAGCTGCAATGCCCGAATAGGCCCTTCCTTTTCGAATCTTCCTGGAAAATTTCAACGTCTGAAGTCGCAGTGTTGGCCCACTTCCCTGTCAGACGAGTCAAAGACAATCTAGGCAAGGCGATTCGGTCTCAAGGAGATGCCGTCGGCACATCCTCCTGGGACAGGGTCCAGGTGAGTTGGCGAAGAGCTTCGCCAGCAAGAAAACACGACGTCGCGACGTCACCCGGACTGCATCTGCTCACAGCAGACCTTGCCGGCCCGGTGGCTTGCATTCGTGCAACTGCTTGGACAAGAAACTCTGTGCTTGCAGATGCAGGGCCCTCTTCACAGATTGACGCCCACGCACAGTCGCTTCCGTGTTGTGGGCCAGGCCGCCCAGGGTGGTCTGGACGAGGCATGTGTCCCCTGCTGCGCCTCCCTCAACCACTCGGAAAGTGCCCTGGCTCCTTCGGTCGCGGGGGCATGGTGCTGCAACCGACAAGACGTGCTTGAGCCGTCGGTGAACTTTGCGATTCTTGGGAAGCTGGCACGCTCGTAGCACAACGGTCTGGTTCGTCAGGCCAGCCAGGAAGCACCGAAGTGCGACTGGCAACCGCAGCTTCCATGCCAAACCAGACCAAGCCTTTGCCAGTGCGACCCAGGGCTCTTGCGCCTCATTTCTAAGGCTAGCTGCATGCTGGCACGGCTGGCACGGATGATCTGCCATGAAGCCTCAGATGCGGAGGTTGCAGCTTGCTCTGACCAGGCCAAGTCGTGGAGACATGCGCTTGTCAGCGGCGAAATATCGACCTCTGGCTCGGAACCTGCACCGCCTCAATCCCACGCCCCATGATTCCTGTGAACATCTAACGGAATCTTTCACCTGTGGACTCCACTGTGGACTCCGTCTCTCGCATCCGCTCTTAGGATCACGTGCGACGCATCAATCAGCCTGCACGGTGCAAATTCCTGAACGGGCCTGCACAGCGGGTGCGTGGTAGGGCTGAGCCTGCGCAATGCTGAAGCCTATATACAGAGCATTGCTTGGTACAAACTGCCATCTAGCCCTCGAACTTGAAGAAGGACGCGCTGCATGAGTCGGAGCTGAGGCACCTGCTCCCTATATACCACAGTCAGACTGCGCGGTGCGAGAGCTGCTGGAGCTGCGAGTGTTCTGGGGCAACGACCTCAAAGACTCTGAGGACCAAGGCCACGAAGTCCGGCCACGGCACCTCGCAGCAAAGAGTAGTGGGCTTGTGCCGTGCGGCGGCATGCCAAGCTGCGGATAGCTCCTATCTGGCTGCTTGCCAACCGTATCAGAATCAGAAGCAGCGTGTTACGGCGGCGGCGGACACTGAGCGTCTCTGCTCAAAGGAACATCCAAGGCTCGAAGCATCTCGGGCGAAGGCAGGAAGAGGACACTTCTCCGGGACCCCGCTGCACAGAAGACCAACAGGGCTCCTACGACGTGCTTTCACCAGCGACCGCCAAACCCGGCGATTCGGCAGCTCAGCTGAGCTTCTCAAGTCGATGCGGCGGAGGCGAAGCCGAATCCGCCACTGCTGCACCGTGGAAGGAAGTGACTTTGCGAAAATGGAGAAGGGCGAGGAAAGGAAAAGAGAATCATCGAAGCTGGTATGACCAAACACCTGGGCAGGCACTGATCTTGGTCAGACTTCCAGGCTGCCATCAAAGGCTACGCGAGACCCCTTGGCTGCTGCCTGTCTGGTTGGACCTGCAAAGGAGCCCGAGCGTAACCGCTGCGACGGCAGAAGATCAACCGTTTCGGCGCGAAACAGATCGAGCTCGTGAGAATCACACTCCCCCGGCCCTACCCGAGTGCCACAAAGTCGCAGTTCCTATATCACGAAAGCACCGAAACGCTGTGGCTCTGAAGCCTTGGAAAAAACTGGCTCTGAAGCCTTGGAAAAAATGCAAGAAGCCCTCTCTGGCAACACACAAAGGTCTCGCAAATTCCTCATGCCATGCCTGTCAGTCAGACGCTCTGAAAACCTAATTTGCACATCCAATCTGTCCGATGGCCTGATGGAAAAAAGTGTTCGGGATTCAATCAATTGAGAATCGCGTCCAACATGTCGAGCCCTAAACCCTAAACCCTATCCC